TGAAATACATTTAGAAATATATTTTGGTATATGAAGGTTGAAACTAAATATATTTTCTGTTTCAAAACTATATTTCATTGAGCTTCGCTGTTTGCAACATATATTTAAAATATATTTTTTTGCCATATGGGTCATCATTTGTTAAAGAGCTCACAAGAGCCTTTCTAAGATCATTTAAACAAAATCACATTCATGTTTGTGCTGTTGCTTTGAATGACTTCTGTGATTGGAATTCGTTTGATCGTCACATGACTGATATTCAGACCAATCACGCAGCAGTTCAGTAAACAACACCTTTGTTTACCTTTACATTTATTCATTTATCTTTCATCCAAAGTGACTTAGAAATGAGGAGCATCCTAAGCAATATTCTTAGACTCAGTCCCTTGTTTGACACTAAATTAGGACACAGTGATGTGAAAGTGAAACTAGAAGTCAATACTGAGACTAAATTTGGCCTCCAAAGCACATTTCTTTCCTCCAGTGAGAACAGTTCTAAATAAAACCAAGCTTGTGTCTGAATCAGAGTCGTGACGGTGGTCTCTGTCTGTGTACAGGAGGAGAGACAGCGGCTGCTGGCAGAACAACGCCGACAGAAAGAGCAGGAGTCTCTTAAAATACAGACAGACGCATCAAAACCGGACGATGATGAGGAGCGACTGCAGATCAACTCAACACACAGAAACCTGGAGGTACTTCTGCTGATTATGAGACTACTTAAAGAAACAGTTCACCAAAAAACATTATTCATTTATCTTTCATCCAAAGTGACTTAGAAATGAGGAGCATCATAAGCAATATTCTTAGACTCAGTCCCTTGTTTGACACTAAATTAGGACACAGTGATGTGAAAGTGAAATTAGAAGTCAATACTGAGACTAAATTTGGCCTCCAAAGCACATTTCTTTCTTCAATGAGAACAGTTCTAAATAAAACCAAGCTTGTGTCTGAATCAGAGTCGTGACGGTGGTCTCTGTCTGCTAGTTTCAGCTTTTGTCTTCTCCAGATGTTAACTGATGGACTGGAGTGCTGTGGATTACTTGTGGATTATTGTGATGTTTTTATCAGCTGTTTGGACTCTCGTTCTGACGGCACCCATTCACTTCCAGAGACATGCAATGCAGAATTTTCAGCTAATTTGCATATGCTTTAAAGGAATAGATCATCATAGACATCTTTAACTCACCCTTGTATTTTTACTTTCATGAAACAAATGTTGATGTGAGGCAGAATGACTGACCCCGTTTTGTTTTTTACATATAATGAAACTGTTTAGGGATTTATTCTTTCAAACTCAAAGTCCATATGAATCATGCACTGTACTCAGTCTAAAGTCATATGATGTTTTTCAAGTCAAGTCACATTTGTTTCTATAGCGCTTCACAGTAATAAACAGGAAAATAACAGTGTTGATGTAAAATCCATCAATTATGAAACAAACTCAGGTTTAGCTGTAAAGCGGCTCTACAGGAGACATTAGAGTCATTATTCAGATCGATTCAGTTCAGGTTTTGTTCTCATCTGATAATATCAGTGCAGTCAAATCAATAACATAACTGAATATTAACTGTGTTTTGTGTGAGGAACAGACCTGAAAATCGTCCTTGTGTTTATCATGGTGAAAGAGAGTGAATAAGAGTGTTTGGTTTGATATGAACATTTGATTTTACCATTTTTAAATCCATTTAGGCAAAAACGGCACAGAAACTGTTGTTTATCAGTTTACCTGAATCTGAAGTAGTTTTAGCTTTGTATTGTGATTGTGCTTGTGCTTTTGTGTTCTTGTGTTCTTGTGTTCAACATCAAGTATAAATAAAAAAAAATTAATACAAAATAAAGTGTAATGATATTAATAAAAACAGTATTCTTCCACCAAACAATGTAGCTCCTCAGAAACAGTTGTGGTTGCTACAAAGTGGTTGCCGAGCAACACACAAACGTAAACAAAGGTGTATGTTACTTTGTAGAGTCATTTACAACAGCTTCGAACATGGCTCAGCCAATCAGAATCAAGCACCGGAACTCTCCGTTTTATAATTCTATTTTATCTATTTGTTTTTTGATCAAATAGATAATCCTTTTCAAAAACATGATCCTTTAAGAGTTGCACTCTATTTGTTTTCTAACAGCTTGTTTTCTATTAAAAAAAGGCCTCTAACACTAGCTTGCTCTATTCTTTTTCTATTCTATGTATGCTTTCTTTTTATCTATTATATAATTAACAAAAACCTTGCTAGGTGCACTAACTGAGACTTGTTATAGCACTTGCGTATCATGGCTCTTTTGTTGTTTTGATTGCTTCCATTGTCCTCATTTGGATAAAAGCGGCTGCTAAATGACTAAACGTAATGCAAATGTGTTTTTTTCTTGTTCAGCAGGGCGCCCCGCTGTCTCTGACGGTGAACTTTGACCTGCGGGCTCACGTGGAGGTTCTGGGTCATAATGTGTCGGGCTGTATGGGGGTCAATCTGTCTCCCCGGAGGTGCGGCGGCTTTCTGACCAAACGCGGAGGACGAGTGAAGACCTGGAGGAGGAGGTGGTTCTTCTTCGATCTGGACCACCAGAGACTGGCCTACTACACCGGTGAGACACACACAAACACCTCCTGCACAGCCAATGCTGCTTTCACCAGCTCCATCTCTGCATTTGGGAACGCAATATCACTTTGAAAAGCTGCATTAGCGCACTAAAGGATCTTCAGCGTATGATCCTGTGCTGAAATCTCACTGCTCTTCTCCTTGTTTCGTCAGAACTCGATGAGAAGAAACTCAAAGGCGTGATTTACTTCCAGGCCATCAAGGAGGTTTATTACGACCATCTGCGAACAGCTACATCAGTGAGTTCATAACCACACACACGAAACTAACCCTAACCAACTCTACACTGGACTGTGTTACTGTCAGTACACATTTCAGATGTTTATTGTTGGTCTCTCGTGTCGTTCTCAGTCTCCGCGGCCGAGCCTCACCTTCTGCGTCAAAACCTACGAGCGGCTCTTTTTCCTGGTGGCTCACAGCGCTGAAGCCATGAGGATCTGGATGGATGTTATAGTCACGGCCACAGACGAACACAGCAGATACTGAGAAGCAGAGCACGCTGGGATACGCTGTGACTGACTGACAGTGGTTTGTGTTCTGCTGCCACCTGCTGTTACACTACCAGAACACACCTCAGTGGCTAACACTTTATTTATTACCGTTATATGTTCATTTTTGTCATATTTTGCTATTGAAAAGGGGGAAAGAATCCTGCAAAGGGTTAATAAATATTTACATTCCAAACAAGGTGTCAGAACTTACACATGTGACCGACTGATGCACCCGTTTCATTCAAGACAGAACCAGGAGTTCAGTGTTATTCTGTGTACACGGAGCAAGGGAAGGAAAAATATAAAGAAATATTACCGCAGCTCCAAAATACAAATAGAAATCTATATTCAAGAAATAAAAATAAGACTTGTAGAGCATCTTCAGCATCGTCCTACAGATGTTAAAGGACTTCAGCCTCCTCAAAAAATAGAGGCGGCTCTGGCCCTTCTTGTAGACGGCTTCAGAGTCCAGTCCAGTTTATTGTTCATGTGGACTCATGTGGATTGTTACATTTGTACAAGAAGAATGTTTTTATATTAAAGACAAACAAGCAAGCCCTGCCCAGATTTAAAAAGTAACTCAAAAGTAACGCAACACATTAATTTCCATAAAAAGTAACTAACGTAATTAGTTACTTTTTAAGGGAGTAACGCAACATTGTAATGCATTACTTTTAAAAGTAACTTTCCCCAACACTGCCGATAAGACGGATAGCTCACGCGTACGCGCTCAGGGTGTGCTAGCGATTAGATCAAGTCAGCGGTGTGGTCATTCTTGAAGCCAACTTTTGCCAGAATGATGATTAGATTCACTGTTTTGGTTTGCCGCGTTTAATTTGAGAATGCACGTACAAGATGTGTGCGATAGAGTTAAGCTGGCTGCACACTAGACGATTTTCAAATCTTAAAAGATTTTAAAACCATGGGAGACCACAGACATGAAGACAGTTCAACCGATATTATTATAACCCTCTGAATGCGCACACTAGATGATTCGACCAGACCACGAGACCACACACTTGTCGACTGTAGGAACGATTTCACAGTGACACGAGATCTCACGGACACTCGCGAGATCAAACGTGACTAGAGAAGAAAAACAAATAGAGGACAATCGATGTTGTCAGCTGGCTCTCCCGGCGCGCGTTCTGTTGTACAGTGAAAAACAAAGTATAGAAAAGAATATGGGTGATGTTCCCTGCTTTCGTGGCATGTTTGTGGCTGCCAAGTTTCAGCTATAGAAGCACACAACATCCGGTAGGTGACGCTTGCTCGCTCTCATTGGCTATCGCGGGTATCACGTCAGAGGCAGCCCGGTAAATATCAAACATGTCTGATATTATTGTAGGAACGATTTCACAGTGACACGTGATCTCACGGACACTCGCGAGATCAAACGTGACTAGAGAAGAAAAACAAATAGAGGACAATCGATGTTGTCAGCTGGCTCTCCCGGCGCGCGTTCTGTTGTACAGTGAAAAACAAAGTATAGAAAAGAATATGGGTGATGTTCCCTGCTTTCGTGGCATGTTTGTGGCTGCCAAGTTTCAGCTATAGAAGCTCGCATGCTTGCTCGTTCTCATTGGCTATCGCGGGTATCACGTCAGAGGCAGCCAGATCAAGAGTTTGAGTTCGGCGACGCTCCGTCTCGATCGGGAGCAGTTAAATACCGTATTGACCCGAATATAAGACGATGTTTTTTTCTTGGAAATACATCTGAAAAAACGCGGTCGTCTTATATTCGGGCCAATACGGTAATCGTAATGACACCACACAATAGAGGATTTTTTGGACAAAAAACTGCTTGCGACAAGCCGCGAATCGGGCCACGGGGGGTGCAAATCAGGCTTAAAATCTGCCTTAAAATTCTCTAGTGTGCGGCCAGCCTTAACAGTTTCTAGCGCGTCCGGTAAGGCGTTTTATTTACTTAGGGGGCGCTGTTGGCCTACTTGTAATAAAATGAAAGCGTGTTTCTGAATAAAAAAAGCAGCATCGCAGTATTTACATGAATAAAAATCACAAACATGACACTTGTGGGTTATACAAACGGATTATGAAAACTTAAATATAAGAAACTCTAAAAGATTTTCAGAATTTTTACAGCTCTTCTGCTTTAGACCATCTATTAATGTTAAAACCACAAATCAAATGTTACGGTTTCAACTGCATCTGTCTGAGAAAAAAACAGCAGAGATTGATTTTATTACAGTTATTTTCAAGGTTTTCAATGTACTCTCATTAAAAAAATTACTTTAATAAAGTTTATTACTCCTAACAAATATGTTTTTGTTCAAAACTAACCAAAATAAAAATAATTTGTTTATAATTTCCACATGGGAGAGACTTGGTGTTGTTTCAAAACAAAGGGAAATATATATCTGTATCGGCATCGGCTAAAATGATTTGTAAAATATCGGCATATCGGATATCAGCAAAAATCTAATATCGTGCATCCCTAGTTGTTTTAATGTGTGATTTCTTTCTGAACTGTGTGTGTGTGTGTGAGTGTGAGTGTGTGTGTGTGTGTGTGTGGGCTTGAACGACTTCTGATTTTTTGAAGTCGACTTTTATGTGATGAAAGTCGAGTCGAAGTCGACTAGTCGCTGATGACGTCATTAATGAACAAATAAGTCTGGAGCTGTGATAAACACCTTGTGCACAGCTATGGCATATGACACAGCGCTGCCCACACGGCTGTTGCTCCTATAACAGCTTTTTTATCAGTTCTTTTGTCTTTGGATCGTTATATTTCTCACAGA